CTGCGCGCCGCGCCCCGCGGAAGCCGCCCGCCAGTCCCGGCTCCCAGAGAAAGCGGCTCGGAACTGACCGAGGAGGGGACGCATCCAGCTCTGGGCGAAATCCCACAAAGGAGAGTGCGAGGGGGGCGGGAGCCCCAGACTGGAGGGACGTGGCGGAGATGCGGGTCTCGGGCTGGCAGAGCGCAGTGGGCGCGGGTGGGACAGGTGTCCCGGACTGAAGGTGCGAAGCAGGTACGGCGTCCCGGGAGGGAAGGGCGCGGCGGGGGTCGAGACTAGAGAACCCCAAAGCGGGAACCCTGGACGGGGGTGGAGCCCAGAGCCAGAAAGGGCGGCGGGGTAGACAGGCCGCGGGACCCGGGGGCCGTGGACGTCCCCACGAGAAAAGGGACGAGGCCGCCGACCCCACGGTCCCTACACCCGGTCGCCGGCGGGAGTCCGGGCCGCCCCCGTCGCGCCTCGGCCCCGCGCTCGACCCGCCGGCCCTACCTGTCCTCGCTGGCTGTGATCACGCCGTCCTCCTTGGGGATGAGCAGCGCGGCCGTGACGGCGTCCTGGTGCCCCTCGATCTTGCTCAGCAGCACCGGGCGGCTGCTCTGCGGCCTGGAGTGGATCTCGGCCGCCATGTTCGCACAGCGGCGGCGGCGGCGGCGGCAGCGGCGGTGGCGGTCTTCGCGGCGGGCGGCCCATCAGCTGATGGCCGGGCGGGGACCTGCAGGTTTCGCTTCGGCTCCTTGGCGGTGAGGGTGCCGCACCGCCGTAAGCTCCCGAGTGCTGCCGCCAACGATCGTATTGGCTGGGGAAGACGCGCAACTAAAATTACTTGGCGGAGAGAGAGGCCCTTAGGGATTTGCCAGAGAAGTGGTGAAACTCACAAAGGTTGAAAAGTAAAGTCATTCACCCAGGAGAGGATTGAGCAGATGGCGTCGAAGAGGAATTGTCCCCCAAACCAGAGCCTTGGGAAAATAATAATACTACATTGTATCCATTCTAAGAAGCCTTTGTATCCATTCTAAGAAGCCTACTACATTGTATCCATTCTAAGAAGCTCCATTTCAGACATGATAAAGTGTGAAAAAATGAGTGCAATTTAGAATCTTTGAAAGGCACTCATTGAGGGGTGACTATATACCAAGCACTATCCCAAAATCTTTACATGGGTTATCTCAATACTGATAACAACCATAAGAGGTGGAGAGGTAAGTGCTCTTTTAATCTCATTTTGGAGATGAGAAAACTGAACCATGGAGAAGTTAAATCGCTTGCTTAAGGTCACAGAGCTATGAGAAAGAGAAAAGCAGCCCTAGACCTCTAGGAGCTGGCCTGCTACTGTCAGCCAGACTTGGGTGTTGCTAAGAGCTGGCTGGGTGCTCACAGCTGGTTCCTGTGGAACATAAACGTCACTGAACCGAACTTGGGTCCATTAGGCCACAGCGCAGCAAAGCCAACCTACTGACACCAGGTGGTGAAGGAAAGTACAGCGTTTATTTGCAGGGCACCAAGCAAGAAGAACAGGCAGCTTGTGCTCAAAAGACCCAACTCCCGGATGGCTTTCAGGGAAGGGGTTTTAAAGGCAACATTTGGGGTGCGGGTTGCAGTTTGTGGACTTTCTTCTGGTTGGTTAGTGGTGAGGTAACGAGTTATGTTTCAGAATGTTAAACATCAACCTCTAGTTCCAACTGGTCTGGAGTCTATGTGCTTTTGGTCAGCCTGTAGTCACCATCCTCCACCTGGATGGGGGGGGGTGTCTTAGTTTCTGCAGAATACCTCAGAGATATGCATCAGACTGCTACGTCTCTTCCT